GACTTGTTCAGTTCTTTTGTTGCCGCACCTGCGACTCTCACTTTTTGCGTCTGGTTTTCAGCAGAGGGCACACTCGAATGAATGACTCTGCATCAGGGTAATGAGACCATGATTGACGAGAGATCAGGCTGGGGACCACATGGAGCTGATAGACAAAGCACGGATATTTACAAAACATCACGGAGAAGACGATACGTTCATCCGAGCTCGTTCGCTAATAGACTGATATCTTCTAATTACTACAAGTAAGCCATTACTCGACGTTCTCAATGCCCCTCTTGCACTTGACAGGGCCGCCCTCGGGAGGGTACACCACGAGACGGTCGATATCAGCACCCTTAAAGTCAAAGCCATTCCACAACCCACCAATAGTGATAGTGTTGTTCGCGTTCTTCTCCAGAGTCAACTGCAAGGGCGTGGAAAGGATAATGCCCTTGTGGCTATCACGCTGGAAAAGCGTCTCAACCTGCTGCTCGTTGCCGTTCACCACGACAGAAGCCACACGACGAAGCTGCCACTTTCCGCCGATACGGTCGGGATTGCCGCCAGGCTGGTCGCCGAAACCCATGTCGTCCGTGTTCTGGTAGTAAAACGACACCCACTGCGGCTCGCCGGCGCCCTGAATGCCGGTGAAGGTAACGGTGCTGTCGTTGCCGTAGATGCCCGTCACGATGGAGCCGCCGCTGGCAAAGGTGGCTTCCTGCTTGAAGGCTGCGCCGGCCGTGGTGGCGGAGTCGTGGGCGTAGTAAGGTGTGCCTTCAATGGGGGTGACGACGCCCGTCTTGACGTCGAGGTCGTAGACGTCGTGCCATTCTACGTGGACCGACTTCTTTTCGTCGTCGATGACGAGGGGCAACCAGATGTAGCGGCTCTCCCAGAGGGAGTTGGAGTCCCACTGGTCGCCGAGGTAGAGGTACGTCGTGACCTCGGAGCCCTGGATCTTGAGGGAGAAGCCGGACTGGGAGTTGTACGTTCGGGTGTATGCGTCAGAAACAAAGAAGGGCTGGGACCAGGGGCCGGCGAGTGAGTCAGCGCGGAAGGCGACAACGTTGTTGGGGCGGTAGCCCGTCTTGTGGGACATGAGGGCGTAGTAGCTCTTATCGGTCTGGATGATGGTCGGAGCCTCGAGGTCGTACTTGTCGAAGCGGTGGACGACCTCGGTAACGTTTGTGATGTCTTCGTTGAAGGCCGAGATGTAAACGTCGCGGCCCTCGCGGCGGTCACCGTTGGAGTACAGCGAGTAGGAGCGGCCGTCCTTGTAGTCGGTGAAGATTCCAAAGTCCTGGGACCAGTTGCCCAGTGGCGCGGTGGCGTCGACAAAGGTGTAGGGGCCAGAGATGTTCGGCGAGGTGGCCAGGCCTTGGAGGAGGAGGCCGTACGTCGAGTTGTCGGCGTGCCACCACATCTGGAACGAGTTAGTCGCGCTGGAAGCCAGATTTCGTCTCGAATTCAAGGCAAAAACTTACGTGGTACTCCTTGGTGGGCTCGCTGTAGACGACCTTGGGGCGTTGGATAATCATGTTGGTCGAGATGTACGGATGGCCCTCGATAGGCTCGAGCGCCTTTCCGTGGAACTCCCATGTCGCGAGGTCATCGGAGCTGTAGACGGAGACACCGCCGCCTTCCTCCTGGCCCTCGATCTTGTACTCGCCGAACCAGAAGAACTTGCCCGTGTCCTTGTCGAGCGTGACACCACCGGCGTGGGCGTTGACGAGATTCCCCTCGTTGTCACGCCATCTGCCGCCGGGGACAATCCACTTGGCGGCGGCGAGGGAGGCGAGCAAGAGGCCGGACGAGAAGATTTTTGCGAGCGTCATGTTAGGAGAGGACTGATGCTGGGACGAGAACGGTCTCAAGGTCTCGGTCTCTCTACCATTCTCCAGACTGCGGAATTACAATGCGACTCAAGGTATTTATACCATCTTCATGACTTCATGAAGGAACCGGCCGAGATGAGCCGGTTGACATTGGCCCGAAAGCCGAAGCGTCTAAGCCGGGCCATTGAGAAGCGTTGGAAGTCGCGCAAGGCCAAGACCCTTCCAAGAACCACAAGAAAGACTTTTTTGGGGGGGGAGATGCTCAAGCAGATGATCGGCCAAGGTGCCATTCCAAAGGCACGAGATGGGTGCGGACTGTAGGAGATGAAGAGAGGGGTGGCTGGGCTAAGTAGAGTGCCAAGCTGCAGGGCCAGGGGACGAGAGAGAGAAACAAAAAAACCTGGAGAAATTTCCGCCGTTGAGAATCACTGAAAGTTGTGTCGGTGCGGGGAAGCTCCAGGAAGCTTCACGAGTCTTGGGAGACTTCATATAACAACCCCAGTCCTCCCCCAGTTCAGACCTTCAGACTAACCCAAGATCGATGGGCGTGCGGGGTTTTAGCTCGCGTACCGTCGCATCCTTCTATCCCGCGGCCTGGAAATTACGCCTTTTCGGGGGCAGACGTCCGCTGGGCGTTGATGTCATCTGAGTGCGGTGAAGGCGAGCTGTCAGTGTATTGAGAGAGAATCCTCCGTTGGACCGTTGAACTTTGGCATCCTTCGTCTTGTCTTTGGTCCCAGCAGCTTGGCGAGGGTTGCGTTCGGCTCATCTTGACCGGCCGGGTATGCCATGATACGCGAAGACAGGTGGGCAGATACGAGATGAACTGCGGGAAACATCAGCAAATGACGGATGTGACACTGGTCCACCCGAGCTCATGACCTGAACATTCTGATGGGTCATTTGGCAGCGAGATTCCCAAGAGCGAAGAGAAGTTTGTTCAATGGGGTCAATGGTACAAGACTCGAGGAAATATGGGATGATCCGGGCTCGTCTGAACCCTTGATGGCCATCCTGTTAAGGGTGCAATAGAGGGGTGGTTTTGTTGGCTTCTTCTCGCAGAAGCATCCCGCGCTGAGTAGCGAGTACCCACTATGGGTAGTTGAACCATACACCGACGCAAAGGTCATTGCTTTCATCCTCTCTTTCAAATGCCATGGAGTTCCAAGACATCAAGCGTGAGCCAATAGTCAGTACATCTGTAAGGAAGGTCTTTTGTTCTCATAGGAGCCGCTCCGTTGGCCGGGGGTGGTCCGAGTGGAAGACTGTTGCGCCGTAGCATCTTAAAGTTGGCGTTGAAGGTGTACTGTCGAAGTTCATAAGTCCAGACTCTTCCTCCGCAAGGGTCCGTATGAACTTCCTCCGAAGCAATTGAGAAGTTCGGCCCACAGCTGGATCCAGTCTAGTCATCGAGGCATCGGCAGACTCACGATGTTCTCCCCTCAGATGATAGCAGGGGCGTCTGGTAGGTCATCCTTGGTGAAATCGGTGCTATTTCTATAAACTCAAGAGCCGCAGCGGTTGAATATCTCGCAAACGGTGCAATACTCCCATAAGAAGGCCTTTGTCTTCTTTTTGCCCATTTCAACATGCTGTCGAGAGATACAGCATACCTTAGACCATTGAGCAACGCTCATCGAAACGCGACTACCGGTTCTGGCGTGGTGGGGTAGTAAGTCTCGGCTAGACGGGTCGTGGGGCTTCTTAGACCCGGGATTGAGGCAGTTCTTTGAACTCGTGGGATCATGGACTTGTCTTTTGCTCCAGATGAAGCAGGCAGCAACGACTTTTTTAATCTTCATCGAGAGTTCAAGAACCGGGCCGAGCGGGAGATCATCATCCTTCACCGACGAGGCTCAACATGATTCTCCGTGAAATTCTCCGGAACCTTGCCCTTAGTGGCCCAATGCCGATGACGACTGATGGCGCAATTGCATCAACCCCAGATTTCATTCGACAGAATGTTATTGGCCCTGTCGAAAGTATGGAAAGCAATATACTCCAAGACGACACGCTTTCCCGACGTGGAATTGCTCCGTTGCCTCGGAGTTGACCGCAACATCAATCGGCGAAATTGAAGCTCTCATCTAAGTTGCTCTATACGCGGACTGAATGGGGAGGAATTGGTTATATAGCTTACAATATGTCAATATCTTGATTCTAGAACTTGTTGTGCATTCCACTTACTCTTCAGCCTTAACGGAATTAGTGAACCCATTCTTAGCTCACCATCATGTTGCCTCAACTTTCGCTCATCATGGCCTTGTGCCCCCTAATGGCACTTGCAGCCCCCTCAGCTCCCGAACTTGATAAGAGAGCGATCACATGTTTGAAGGTTGGTGCGACTGCAACAGCAAAATGGACCAACAGTGCTGGCAAGTCATGCACATTCACCGGCGTAGTGGGAAGCAACTACGGCACTAACCTCGCTGGGTCTGGAGAGTGAGTCTTTCTCGTAATGCTTTGCATCTGAATACTGCTAATGACAAACTAAGCTACTCCTGCAATGGACGCTGCGGTGCTGGGTGCACTGGAACTGCCGTTGGTAATGTCTACACACAAGATTGCTTTTCCCACGATATTTGCTCGTACTTCAACAGCGCCAGTGGCGGTGCCAGGTAAGCAGATCTCGAGTGCTCTTTGCTGTGTCTGTTTTAATACCTCATGAATTATGCTGATCTAATTGTAGCGATCCCAACTGCGGTGCCGCGTATAACGCTGCTGTTGACGACACGGCCCTGGGTGCTCTCAATGGATGTGGGCAAACAAACCCTTCAAACGCGGTATCGAAGCCCTCAACACAGCCAGTCTGCAGTTGAGAGAACAGATGAAACAAGTACTATTCGGACTGGGCTATTAATTCACCATTTGTTAATCTCATGTAAATATTGAACTACACGGTCGAAAGCAACGAGTAAGCGCAAATTGGTTGAACTGTTAAATTGCAGATTGATCCATGGAGATGTGGAATAATTATGTACAGGTCTCATAAAGGTCTGTTAGAGAGAGTGTAGAAGAGAGTAAGAAAAGAGTGACTTGAATGCCAAAACCAGAAAAGAGAGTTCCTAAAACCTTTTGTTTACGCCTTCTCTCCAAACCCCAAACTAAGTCTATGACGCTAAAAGTGAAAGAAAGTCTAAGTATCGAGCCAAAAACTCCAATGCTACCCTGGCGCGCATCAACTTAGTTAATGTAGATGGCGCGGAACTGGGTGTTGACGTGCCATCCGGTGCTGGCCAGGGACGGGTTGCCCTTGTTGTAGCAGGTCTTGGTAACAAAGTTGTACACGATCTTGGTACATCCTGATCTCAAGCGGCACAGAGCAATGCAAGCGAGGTCGCTGGGAACGTAGTACCAGATGTCCGTGGCAGGGTTGTTGGTGAAGTCACTGCTGGGGCAGACTTGGTAGGTGGTGCCGAAGTAGTTGACGGTGTAAGTGGGAGCCAAGCACTTGGTGAGAGCGGTGCCGTCGGTGACCTTGACGAGGGTCTGGAAGGGCGCGTTGATGTTCCAATTAGAGGCGGCGACGCTGGGGCTACCCTTCAGATAGCAGATCTGGGTGGTAGGGTTGTAGACGGCCTTGGTGCAGCCAGATTGAGCCTCGCAGGCAGTGGCACAGTCAGCGTTGGACTTGTAGCCGTAGTAGATCTGAGGGCTGGGAATCATGAAGTCGGTGTTTGCGCAGACAGCGTACAGTCCACCAGCAGAGCCAACGACATAGCTCACTGGGCTGGGACAGGCGACGATGGGCCCGCTGGAGACCGCCGTGCTGCTAGTTGTTGCGGCGGCGGTCGAAGAAGAGGTGGAAGTCTTGATTGTGGAAGCAGATGAGCTGCTGGATGTAGTCAGGGTCGAAGAAGTGGCGGCCCGTGAGGTAGTAGATGTGGAAAGAGTGGAAGGGGTCGCGATTTGAGACGTGGAAGAAGTAGATAAAGTAGTCGATGTCGTAGAGGCGACCGCGGCATTGCCTTGAGGGCAAGTCCAAGTGCCCAAATCAGAGGTATAAGAGTACGAGTAAGCATACTGGATGGTGTAGACATCAGAGCCAGAGGTGTATCCCGTGTTGACGGCGTAGCTCTTGTCCCAGGTGCGCGAGTACAGAGCACAAATCTGAGCCTGGACGACACCATTCTTGACAAGTGAGTAGCTGGTGAAGAAGTGGCAGTAGAGACCGTTGAAGGGGTTGGTTTCTTGTCTCTGAGAAGCGCAGTCGGCAGCGCAGAGAGAAGGGTCATAAGCGGCGTTGGTGTGAGCCCTGTAAGTGATGTAGCTGTTGCAGTCGCTGGGGGCGTTGATGGTGGCCGTATCAGTGAATGTAGAGTTGTAGCCGGTGACGGCGTAGTCGGGTGCTGTAAGCTGGTATCCGTTTGAGCCAGCAATCACAACGTGGAAATCGTTCCTGTATTCACCACTGTTGGTGGCGGTGGAAGGGCCGATGCCAACACCCCAGAAGCTGCACTTGATGACAGTTGTGCTCGAGGGGTTGGGGCACGCGGTGCCAGGATCCTGGCTGGGATCTCTCTCGAAGAAGACGTTGAAGGCTGTACACCCAGTGTTCGATTTGCAGTCAGCTGCGCACTGCGAAGGGCTGTAGGTGGCATAGGTCTTGTAGCCCATGTAAGCCGAGGCGGAGGTCGCAGACTGGAGGTTCTGGAAGGTCTGGTACCACCCGGCCGGGGTGACGGCCGCCAAAGCAGCATTGGACAAGTCCGTGTCGGCGAGGAAAGCTGTGTCCGTGTCGGTGGTGGGGACCGGGCCACTACCAACGGGAAGAGCGCTGCAGTCGCCGCGGGCGGCCAAGTTGTTGACTTCCCTCTTGGTTGCTGCAACAGTCTGGTTGCCAACACCAATGGGAACAGTCTGGACAGTCGAGACTGGGATGCTGGCTAGCTCAGAAAGAGACAAGAGCTGAGCCGACCCGGTTGCCGTCAAGGCAGCGAGAACAGTAAATGAGCGCATCTTGGAAGTTGGGAAGATGAAGCTAATGTTAGTATGTAAAGTCAATGATCGTGAAGAAGGAAGAAGAAGGAATGATTGTGATGAATGACTGTGATGAGTGTGGAAGAGAGAGTGGCATTGGTCGGATCTCGCCAAGAGTTATATACATCTTTCCGCCACGATTGCTTCTAGCCAGAGAACCTTAGGCTTCGGTTATCCAACATCCAATTCTTTGAGCTACGGAAAAGCCTCATTCATCGTCTGATTGTCACTCTAGTGACTAGAAGCTAACGGAGCCGTTGCACAATTAGGCGCACCTCGCTCTCGGTACTCGGGAAGAAAATCTTTGAGATTCGGCCACTGACGCTGCAGACCTGACTCTTGGGACTCTGGGCATCACACCAGAGCAAAAATAGCAACCATGCGTCAAACTGTAGCGCGAGTCTTTACTCAAAGACTCTTTGTTTGATCCGAAAAAACGGGTGATGTGTGAGGATTGTCTTTGACAAAGGAATGGTCCGGTGTGGCTTGAACGTTCGCCTGTCGGGTATCGTTGATGCTAAGAAGCCTCTAGTCCATTTTCTGCTAGTTGACGGCGGCGCTCGTATTGCACCCACCGTCGCCGTCCATCAAGCTGGTAGTGTCATTGGCAAAAAGTCTACGATCCGTAGACCGGAAAGCTTACCTTTTTTGTCAATGCCCTGAGTATCACAAGCGATATTGACTCTAGAATTGATTGAGGTGAGTAAAGGGTTGAGACGGATGATGTGATGGCCGATGAGAAAACTATTTGTGGACTCTACCACTCTGGAGACTCACCATGACGTCTAGAGTAGATCCGAAGAGAACGCCTCCGGCTCGACATTGCGCATCAAGCATCGATGTGCCAGCACAGCATACCGAGTAAACAAGTAGATCTAGACTTGTCGATCTGGCGTGGTACTGACAGCGCGATATTACCCGAGTGCCTGGGTTCCCGCTCGGCCTTGTGTAACTCAGGTGGAACTGCTAACGTGTAGTTAACTCATGACAGACGGCGCCTCTCCTTAGACTTTGACGGGAACGCCGCCTTACTGGGACATTAGGTTCTCCTCACGCTAGCAAAAGCGAATTCGTTGACTAACAATGAGCGATTTACGCCACTGCAGGGCAGGCTTCCAAGAATCGGGATCTCGGCTGCAACTGCGCACTCAAAATCCTACCAAATATTTTGGCCATTCCACTTCTGGGGATCCCAGTGGATTGGTTGAATGATCTGTCCAAGTAGTGTTTCTATTCCACGTGGTTGAGATAACAACATTGGCGGGCGAAGCCCAGCGGCGCCTTTCATGACAGCCAGCTAGTCAGTTCGTGGAGAGCAAGCAAAGCTACTCTGTGGTTAGCTTGAGGCTAGACTTCTCCATCATTGAACATAAGCTCCAAACACCGAATACGAAATCAAGCTTCCGAGATAGTAGGAGGTAGTTTTGTAGACTCCCAATGTGGAATATACGGGATCACCTCACATGTAAACATCGCACAGGTTTGTCCAACTTTGGTGGGATCACGTATCGGTCCAGGCCCCGAAGTAAGTTTGGTAAAGGGCTTGAAATAATGAGGTTTGTAAGATCTGGTTCTACTTATCTTTTAGTCTAGTCCCCATATCTGTTCGTTCATGTACCAAAGTAGGTCGGAAGGTGAAGCATTGCGCGGGTCCCGTGGCATTTCTATCCTGAGGTTGACTCATATTTGAATATTTGGATTTCTAACAATTGTTCTTTCCCGTGCGGAAGCAGAATATGTTGATCGTCCCGTCCGACTGCTCGCAGCAAGTTGCGCCCAAGTCTGGCGCTGAACCTCCAAAGCAGTTGGGCTTGCAATTGGCGCAAATATTTTGACACTACGACAAATACACCGAGTCAGTTTACAACTAATAGAGAGGTCGAGTGGTTGATGCGGGACAGAAGTTAGAGACTTACGCTTGTCTTGGTTCCCTTGTCAGCAGGACAGCTACCATCGGCAGGAGCGCCAGCGCAGAAGATGAAAGCGGCAGAAGCGGGAAGAGCGAATTGGAGCAGCGCTGCGACAGCGAGAGTAGGATGGAACAACATCTTTGTCTTAGCAGTTATGGGATTTCCTTCGATGTAGAAAATGAACAGAAATAAGAGATCGGCTTTTGTCTGGGAGAAGATCTGCTACTCGATGTATTGATACAACAGTGATCAGTCACCTTTAAAGGCTTGGAGCAGGCTGTTATTTGTACGGAGTGAATCTCGTGTTCATCTCGCAGCTTCTTCGTTCGGGATACATTGTCAATAAATCCAAGTTCCGCAATCCGTGGATCGCGAACTCCATCCCCATGACCTGGTTCATCCAGAATAAGTTGAGATGACTTGACGCAAGTGACCGAACAAGGGTGGCCTCGCCAAAGCTGGAACTCACCCGATACATCTAGTACATTACTCGTTATTCGACAGTCCTATAGGAGCAAAGAGGTCCGCCGTCGAACGGGGATCCTCGAGAGATCTCCGCAGGAACCCTGCACGAGTGCATGATCTGAATACAAAGCTTGTTGGGCGTCGTGAGTCGTGGAGGCTGTGAGCTCCTTTATCCCATACTTAAGCTTGCAAAAGCTGCTCGTACCAATGTATTTGGGGCTTTCGCTTACCGTGCCCCGATAAGGCTTCGTTATGTTGCTGCACTCGCTCTCCTGCGATAAGTCACCGTAGCCGAGACGATTTGACAGCGGTACCTCCGAAGTTACCCGTAATAGAAATAGTTATATTCGGTCGCGGTGATTCCATGACTCCCATCCCGCTTAAGTAATCTGCAATGCAGTTGAGAGCCTGAGACACGGTGCGCCCGTAATAGCCGCAGCGACCGAGTTGCTGATGGGAACAGAAGTTTTACCTTTCATCGTTTGGCTTGGATCATTGGTCAGATATGAAAGCCGCCAGGCGGTGAATGACCGAGACCGAACACACACTTCCGTTATATCATATTATCAATTCCATGGGCGGCTTTTTGTGAAGTAATAAAGCTATTGTGCTCTCCTTTAATTATTCTCCAGGACCCTACTGATATCTGCTGGAGTCTGCTCGAAGGATCATCTTGAACAGTTCGATGTCATTCCTCGCATCTAATGCACTCGTCTTCGGAGCCTTCCCGTTGACAACGCAGTCATACAACTCGAGGAACTCATTGGTGTAAGGATCCTGGTATGTCTTCCTGACTTTGCGCTCTTGAAAGCCATCATTCCCGATCAGTTCTCTAATGGTCATCGTGACTGGTAGACCCTTGACGTATGGTGTGTCGAAGTCAACGCGAACAATCTTCTCGGGAGAGTAGACCTCAATGTGTGCGTCAAATTGCGGGACTTTGCTGAAACCTGACTCATAAGTGACAGGGAAGTCGTCGTACTTGAAAAGGACGCTGAAGATGCCAGGGAAGGTAAGACAAGCTCCTGCAACACTCTTCGGCATACCGATGATTTCTCTCATGGCTGAAAGATCATGGGTTCCGAGTCTATGGATTTATTAGTAATGATGCTCTTTCAGCTTTGTTGAACTTTAACATACCCTCCTAGAAGTCGTAGCATCAGTTGAGAACCAGGGGTAACGGGAACTCCAAACTCTTTCGCTAGAGCCTGCTCAGAGATGTCCGCCTCCCGCTTCAGCCTGTCCTTAGTGTCTGCATCGCTGTAGTCGCTGAACTTGAGAGGGAACGTGCCGGACTGGTCGACAAATGTTGAGTTGGGTCCGATGATGTCTCTGACTCTCGCGTACTGGATCTTCTCCATGCCGCCAACTTCCTTCACCGCATCGGTAAATGCAGTTGCGAAACGCCGCATGGTACCAACCATGACCTTTCCCTTAGACTTCTTCTCGGCTTCGACCAGGCGATCTAAGTCTCGGAAACAGACGGAGGCGGGCTTCTCGATGAGGGTGTACTTGTCGTTCTTGAGCGCCAAGAGCCCATGCTCGACATGGTACGCATCAGCGTTGGCAATGACTACCACATCGACGTCTGGCGAAGAGCAGAGTTCTGCTGCATCAGCCGTTGTCTTGGGCGTTCCTCCCTGCACCTTTCGGGCGCAGTGCTCTAGAGCTTGTTGTGAGATATCGCAGAGGTAGGTGGTTTGGTAGCGATGAGAAAGGAAGTTGAGGTTGGGAATGTGGGCTACCTGAGTGATCTCGCCGCACCCAATGATGCCAACCCTAAGGATGGGCGTTTGCTGCTGGGAGCCCATGTTCTTAGGCGTCGTTCTTGATGTATGGGGAAAGTCGTTGAGGGCCTCTCAATGTAGAATGCACATGAATCTAGATACGAGACCTGGACGATTATCGCCAAATATCTTGTTCCAGATATGCCTGCTCTTGTGATGTTGAGAGGCGTTCGTGATGGCTTTTGTAATCTTGTCAAGCTCCTGTGGGTACAGCTCCAGCAATGTCGTCAGCTTGAGCTGGATTGTTGAGCCCCGAACATCATTGGACACCTGAAGATGGATTTGAGACCACTTTTGCTTTGGTAGCTTCATCCAATGATGATTCGAAATAATTGGAGAAGTCAAAGCATCTGGAGGTGGACAGGCTCCGATACTCCCCGAGACCAGCTTAGACCGGACCATTGCCCGCGGAGTATCGGAGCCACGCCAATATTGTTAGTGCGAGATCTAAGGTCACCTAGTTCGGTCGAAGACGCGTCCCGAAATATTGCACGCCGCGACGATGCATTCTTCCCCGCACACTCCCCTGGCCTCCGACTTCCTAAGAACACCCATCCCGAGTTCCGGTCCCGCGTTTACCCCATGGGGATGGACCGGGGTCATGAAGCCGTGCAGAGCTACCGAGAATCTGGTCTGACCTGGACCCTAGGCGGTGGCTGGAAAACCTGGAGTTGGTTGCATTGTCGATGGCTCTTCTGAGGTAGATAAATAGCATGGCGTCGCATCTTGTTCTCGAGTTTAAGTCATCCTTGTCGCTTCGACCAGGAGCCTGAAACACATTTACCAACATCCCAGCGGTGACAATCTCAACAGCCAA